ACTCAAAGAGTTCATAATGGCGCAATCTTGCGCTAACATTTGCGACATATTGGCAAGTAACATTTGCGTGATAATCTGAAGTTATATAAGAAGGTGATATTCGTACAATAAGTATGCACATTTATAATAAACTTAATTTATAAGAAAAATGACAATGATATTTCGATGATATGTCGTTTTAAGGACATCAAATCTCTGAAGAGAGAAAAAGAGAGAGAGAGAGATCTCGTCAGAAAAATATTTGAAACATAACAATTATGCGCAAGTGCATGTGTGGAGTATATATGCAGTCTCTCGGTAATTTATTATGGCCATCTTAATAATATCAGCAATTTTTTATTTATTAAATGTTGAATTTTTATAAAATAATTAAAATTTTGCAATTGCTTCAGGTAGAAATTTTTCTTCATAAAGTTTTTTTTATTTGATAATTTCTTAAAATAATTTTAAAAATATATATTAGCAAAAATGTAGTTAATTTTAATTTTTAATATAAAATACTAATAAAAGAATTAATACGCAAACATATTTAATCATGTAAAATTCATATTATAATTTTGCCAAAGAAAAGTATGTTAAATAACACTTTTATAATATTACACATCTTTACTAACAAGACACTAACATAAACTACGAAACTATATATCACTCTTGTCAGTTTTCAGAAATAATTTCATATCATGTATATCGCTAATAACAGTATGCTATTATGTATAATACATTTATGTAAACCTTTTTAATTACATTAACATGCTACAATTGACATTATTTACGAAAATGAGAAAATAAAAGTCATAATAAATCGACGAGGTATGCGTAACTGTATGTGTACATGCTAGAAATAAAAATTCTACGAAGGCAACATGATATAAACGAAAAAATAGTTTGCAAAAAGAATCGTAAAAATAAGACGATATCCACTGAAACGCGCGTCATGTCTGACTGTACACTGCCCTTATCTACTTTAATATCGCGCTCCCTAAGTAGAACGCGGCGTTATACGTTCAGACGTAGCTGTTCCCGTAACACACTTCTATGAGAAGTTCTCTCCGAGAACTTTCACCATATTAACCCAATATCTGCCATATGGTTTAGAATCAGGTTAACAACCGTTCATCTTCCCTGGCGCCGAGAGGCACGGAAGATTATCGGTCATCAATTTGATTTAACGTCATTTACGCAAAATAATAGCGCGGCTATGTTTAATTGATTGCACAAGCTTTTACGCCTATATGCAAATAAATCGAGCATTTAATCACATATGATATATAAATTATATTAAATATTCAATAACACATAAATAAGGAGAGTAGTAGCTCCACAAGATTTGTATCTTGAGAGTCTTAAAGGATATTTTTTGACAAATTTAAAAAACATATGGAAAGAGAGAGAGAGAGATACATATGTGCGTATTATCCACGTTATCTTATTTGAAGCTACAGTTTCAATTGATCTATCTCCTGTCTCCCGACTTCCGTGGTCACGGATCCGTAAATTAACGGCATTTCGGACACGTCTTCGATCGCCAACCATTCATAAATCTATCCGCCGTATCGCCCTCGTCCATTAGCATCTCGTCGTGCGTAGAATCGCGGCGAGGACAGCATATCCTGCAGTTTGTCCCGGTATCTCAGTTGAGTAACACACCAACGTCCGCGCGGAGGCAACCAGTCAGCGCTGGTGGGAAGTATAAAATGTCAATACGTTTACCGGCAGGCCATTGTTGAGCTTGATCTATGTTTATGGGCGTAACGGCGTAGGTCGTCGTCGCCGTCGCGTTGCATACAGAGCAACAGAGCGCGTAGAAAGCGCGCAAGGGAGTATCTCTTTCTGTAATGTTCCGGCCGTAATAGTACAAAGGCGGTTTTCGGTTCCTGCTCGTGCTCGCGAATATATATGCCGGCACTTTACGAGCGTACGTGAAACACTTTGACACATGCATTCCGAGGATTGTTATGCGAGTTTCGGTAATTGCTATCTCTGCCCTTCGGCATTAACCTGTCGCCGCAATATATTCGCGTGGAAAGAAAATTTAATTAATTTGTTATTCCATTACCGTAGCTTATGTAGCGCTTATGCTACAATTTGCAGAAAATATAATTCTGTGAAATATTATCAGGTACTAGAAAATGTATTATTTATATATGCAAGGGATTATCTCTACCCCCTGCGAAATTGTCGATAAGGCCGAAAAAATGATGTTTGCACGAGACAAGAAATTACCTCCCTTCGTTCGTGTCCCTTGTTTCGTATGCGAGCGTATGTACGCTATCTTGTGTGCACGTGTCCGCTAATATCTGTGAATGTGTCGGTGTGCGTAACCCGCGCCTGGACCACTGCGATATCATTTGCGATAATGCATATGCCTCGTACAAATCTCCCCGGTCGAACAATCATCCCTCGTTATAGCGATGATTAGTCTCCCTCCGCGCGACTTTACACATTCACACGCGAAATAATATCACGACAGAAGGCAGTGCGAGAGGAATAATGTTTTTTTCGTTCCATTAAAAAAAAAATTGAATCGAGATAGCGAAACCGTCTGGTGTGGATCGTCGAACGAATATCTCATGGCGCGTTTGAGTATTTTCTCAACTCAGATTATTTTCCATCTTCCACCCTCGACGCAGTTCGGCACGTAGAGGAAAATCGCCGAGCGTGTAGGAAAAAAAAGAGAGTTGTAGAGCGAATCGCTCGTTTGCTTTGTTCGGTATATCGCAAGCAGGTTCGACGAAATTGCGAGAGAAAGAGAAAGAAAGAGAAAGGGACAGCGAGAGAGAGGGTTCGAGGTGCCAGAGACTCGCCGGGGGAATGAAACCTGATTTAGGACTGCGGTCCAGAAATCTCCCAAGAGACCCTCCGGGCTGACCACCGCGCACTCGCTTCGCTTTCCAGTGTCCCTCCGAGTGCGATCCTCGCCCTCTACTACTACTACCTTCTCTCCACCAGCTCTTCGGTGTTCCACGTCCAATGTCCCTGTGTCCCTGGACGCCAACAAGTGCGACTCTTTACCAACATCGCGTCCGAAATGCGTCCGGAATATCGAAGACCACACCAAGTATTGCGGCGAGATACATTATAGCAAAAAAAAACTTTAACCGCTTCGATAGAGAAAATAGAGCATAGAAAAAAATAACATCTATTAAATTAGATTTTCCCATCTGGAAATCTCTATGGAGTATATTTGATTTTCGTAATATAAAAATGTATATTGCGACGCTGTATTTTTTTTTAATTTCGCAAAATTAACGAAAATAAAATTAGTGTCAATTTAATCCAATGTTTTGTTTCATTTGAACCAAGTGGTTCTCCTTCGAGAAAATATTTTAAAGGAGTAGCGGAAAAGGGAGGAAATTTTAATACAGAGAGACAATTTCGGGCGAGCGAGGAATTTTCATTCGATACATTTATTCCATACTTGGTTGAAACTTCCCTTTGGCTCATATAATACCTAGATTCGACTGCTTTTATATCGAGTGGATCCTTACGAAGCATAGAACGAAGTCGGCGGGCCGGCCGAAGGCAAAGTTTCAGACGAGGGCCACGGGAAAGAAGGGAATATACCGAACGCGAGAAGGAAAAAGGAGGAAGGAAGGAAGACGCTCCTGGCACAGCCTGGCGTGTAGGTTACTACGTGCCTGCTCGTCGAGGCATCCCGTGACCGTGGTCTGGCTTAAGATTCGGGTCAGGCTGTAACCTGCCTCGATTGCAAATATAGGGAAACACTCTTCAGACGCTGCCAAAACCAAAACTCAAGTGGCACCGGGCGCGGAGTACGCGACGCGACAAAAAGCTCGGAAATTTAATCGACTTTTGTCACGATTTCCTTCCTTCTATCCTGCAATTTCCCCAACGCGAATATAACTCATTGGAAAATCCGTGAATCCACCAATACCATTTCAAAGCCGAAGGAGATAGTTTACCACGTCGTTCAGTCTGATCGAAAACCCGTAACCTTTAAACTTTTCCCAGTTCGCTTGCCAGCTACTTTTCTTTCAAAGCACGAACTTGATGGCCAAAGAGTTATGCAGTGTGAATACTTGACGATTGATATGTCATTAGTAAATAAGCCATCAGAACTTGTAAATCAGAATGCCTAAGATCTTATACTTTTATTAACGGAGCATTTCTACAGCTATCGTATATTACGTTTGTTATATTAAACCATCGATTTTCGTTATTGCCATAAATGATACGTCGACTCGTAAAAAATACGCGTTTTGCATAAAAAAATAACGTTCAAAGCATACAATGTTACGGAAAAATAGCACACCCTTTGTCACCGGATATGAATCTTATTGAGCATACTTGGAATATGCTCCCACAGACGGCGGTGCAAGAATGCACCCGCGAAGCGGCGAAAGCTCGCAGCTGCAGTCACTGAAGAATGGGTCGACATACCGCGAGAAGTTCTTCGCCATCTTTTTTCGAGGCTCGCGCCGTCATGTAAAATTGTGGAGGTAGAAAATGTAAAATTCGTGCGAGCCGGCGGATATTAAAACGAGGATAGCCCGCGGGGAGAATAAATCGTGTCAAGTATCTACGCAATAACTTATACCTTTTCATTTCCATCTCTCGCGCGCCCCTTCATAAATAGATATACAACAAGCGATGCAAAGTAGCTGTCCTCGAGAAAAAAAATCACATTCAATCGTCTCATTTTTTAAATCCAATCATTCGATTTAAAAATTTAAGTTCTTCTACTTGAAGCATAAAGATAGTTTGCAAAGTTTATCGCAACACTAGAAATACATCTCTCCATTCATGTAGTAAATTCATTATCAAATAAACGCAACGAAATTTCGTTCAAATTTTGTGGGAATAATAAATTCCTCCTAAATTTGAGGAAAAAATACCATGTTCCTCAAATTTCATAAACTTTGGAAATAAAAAAAAATGGTACGGGTGAAGTAAGTGATGCGTTTCGTACTCGCATCGAATGCGAATAAATTATGAATAAAATTGCAGAAAGCGAGTATTGTCGACAACTTGTTCGATACCTGGTTGATAGAGATAAAGATCCGCGGCGCGCGGCCACACAATCGCCGAGCGCTCCACGCTGCCTGCTTGATTCCGCGTGCTTGCGGATCCCTGTAGTTCTACGAAGAATCGCAAGCCACGAGTCGTGTCTCGGTCTCGTAGTAGTCACAATCGTGCTCGCGAATCGTCGTCGCCTTCACGAGTCCTCGTCGTCCCCTTCAACGGAGTCGCGATAGCGGTGCGTCGTCATCCCTCACCTTCTATTCGCGACATGAATTCGACTCATTCACCGGAATGCGTCGGTCGTCCCGCACAAACTGTCCTCACAAGCGAACACTCACCGAGTATACAGTTGACGTTTCGCGCGGATTACGTCGAGGGTGCCCGGGGGCAGCATAAATACCCCGCGTACTACTTACGAGCGCGAGGAGAATCCTCCGATTCGCCGCACGTAATCACTCACGACGAGTCTAAACTGCGCGAGGGTCGCGCACAACCACGAGCGCCGCCGGTACGCATCCGACGACCACGTGAGCTAAGAGCGATCTGATGCAACTCCACGTGTCTTCGGAGTAAGTAGCACTTTGGAGTATCGCTCGGAGTAACTTGCGAAAAGCGTCGAATTAATTCCGCGTGACACTAGATTGGAAAAGCAAAGCTATGTGTCCTCTACTCTGAAGAAAACGACACTGAATCGCCTCACGGTCTGAATGAGAAATTCAACAACGTCGCGCGTGGTCAGTTACTCGTTACGTTTGAACCAACGCGAGCGACAACATTAGCAACATCACCACCAATAACGCGGGGAAAAACTCGTCGTTCGGAGAATCTCGTCACCCCGACGTCCCCGCAGTGAACGCTCCTCGTGCTAGGTGTTACTCGACACCGAAGCGCTGGTACCGCCGGTGAGAGCGTCGACCGCGTGACTACCGACCGTCCTCCGCCTCGTCGTCGTCGTCGTACACATCAAGGAGAGGAAGCCGCGTCACTTCGGAAGCGTAGCGGAGCGACGAGCTGACGCGGGAATGAGAAACTCGCGAACGCGTCAAACTGGCTGGCGGCGACGATGACGACGCGTCCTCTCCCACCGAAAAAATCCGTCCGAAATGGATGCCCCGTCCGGATCGCGAACCGACGAACAGATTTCGGCGACGACAGGGCGGGGGAATGGGGGGGGGAAGAGATGAAGGGGTAACGACGCGCTGACGTGATCCAGCTGATCGTTTATCGTTGCGCCGTGCGAACGGCGATTTAACTCTCGTGCACTCCGGCAACGATGCCGTCTCCTTTGCCAAAACGTGGAGATGGTGTACACTGCGGTCGCTCTCCGCACACTGAGGATAGCTGACGTCACGAGCCCACCACGCGGAGGTGGTCTTGCGAGCGACCGTTTCGCGCCGGCGCCCGCGGCGCTGCAATCCCTATAGGCACACACAGTGCCAGTACAACCCTGCGCGCCGCGCCGCGCCGGTGTGTTCTCTCTCACCCTTTCTCCTTTCTCCCTCTACCACACACAATTCTGACTATATATATTCCCACCCACCAATACCACACCGGCTCGACTCGTTCTACCTACGAACGGCAGTCGAGTAACGGTTTAACCGTCGACGGAGGAGCTAACACCTAATGGGGTTTTACGTTACGTCACGTTGGGCACAGTCAAAGAGAGCAAACCCGTGCAGCTTCCGCATACTGGATCGATTTCGAGATGAAAAAATGGGAGCCCGTGACGAGTAATTGATTGTAACTTGCCTGATCTAAGTTTGACAATGAGATACGTTTTGCGATCTATATATAGGATTAATGTGTGAGAAATATCATAGAACAAATTATATATTCATCAATTTGTACATATTTCATCTATTAAACCAGAATTATTTCATAATAGTAAAAGTTTGAAAATTGATATACAATTCAGAAATGCAAGAAAACATGCAATATATACTCACAATATATAATCATAACATAAATGTACTTCGATCTTTACGAATCTCTATAGTTTTATCTAGTACACATAAGTAGTAATTCAAGCAATGTGATCAGACATACCATTCTAATGTAAGTAATGCAAGAAAATATGCAATATATATATACAATATAATGCAATATAATAACACAAAAATATATTTTAATCCTTACGAATATACAGTTTTGTCTACGCATAAGTAGTACAAGCACAAGTAGTAAAAGCAATGTGGTCAGACATATCGTTCTAATGTAAGCAATGCAAGAAAATATACAATAAATATACACTATATCACGCAATATAATAACACTAAAAATATATTTTAATCTTTACGAATATACAGTTTTGTCTACGCGTAAGTAGTACAACCATAAGTAGTAAAAGCAATGTAGTCAGACATGTCGAGCCTTTCTAATGCAAGAAAACATACAATATATAAACGCACCCTATCTAATGCAAGAAATGCAAGAAAACATAAAATATATAAACACAATATAATAATACAAAATTTCAATCTTTACGAATCTATAGTTTTGTCTACGCGTAAGTAGTACAAGCACAAGTAGTAAAAGCAATGTGGTCAGACATATCGTTCTAATGTAAGCAATGCAAGAAAATATACAACAAATATACACTATATCACGCAATATAATAACACTAAAAATATATTTTAATCTTTACGAATATACAGTTTTGTCTACGCATAAGTAGTACAACCATAAGTAGTAAAAGCAATGTAATCAGACATGTCGAGCCTTTCTAATGCAAGAAAACATACAATATACAAACGCACCCTATCTAATGCAAGAAATGCAAGAAAACATAAAATATATAAACACAATATAATAATACAAAATTTCAATCTTTACGAATCTATAGTTTTGTCTACGCGTAAGTAGTACAAGCATAAGTAGTAAAAGCAATGTGATCAGACATGTCGAGCCGTTCTAATATAAGAAGTGCAAGAAAACATACAACATATGTACACAATATAATGCAATATAATAGCGCAAATGTACTTTAATCTTTACAAATCTACGATTTTATCTACGCATAAGTAGTAGAAGCATAAGTAGTAAAAGCAATATAATCAGACATATCGAGCCGTTCTAATAACTTTATCGGAAAACTATATTACTATTAAATATATGTAATTAAACAAAAGGAGAGAGAGTGAAAGAGAGAAAATTTGTGTGTGTTAGATGATAAATAAATATAATTAATATAATAATAATATAAATGTAATTAATATAATATAAATAAATGGAAAAGAAAAGCAGTTGAAATTCAATGGTAAAGATTATTGGTCCAATCGCAATTTTACAAACAAAATTATTAATAAAATAGTATTTATATATTAATAATAAATTCTATTGCATATTACGTAATAAATTTTAATATGTACGCTTTAATTAACAGTCAGTTATTGTAAATGTATTACATGACATGTGATGTTAATAGGACGATATATATATATATATATATATATATATATATATATAAATATTATATGTACGTGTGTATATAAAACGGATGAAATACGTTTTATGAAAAGATTTAATAACATATATCAGGGAACGATAAAGCACGAACTTGGTTAGGCAGACGATGCAATATTTTATCCATACTGATTTGAAAACAAAAGGATAAAACCGATTGGCCGTTGGTCTTGCGGTATTATCCATGATCCTCAAGCTGATCCTCCACAAACAGGAAACCCAAGGCACGAAATTCCGAGGAGAAAGCTTGGAAACCCTATCGGACCGCCGTTATGGGTGGAAAGTTTCGGTAGAAGTTTCTTCCTAACTCCGTCAACTCCATAGGAACCGACGGAGAAATCCGAATCCGAGATGAAGGACCGGCAAGGATAACGCTACTCTAAGAATTTGCAAAAGTAGACAGTTTCGAAAGAGAAATCTGTTTTCAAGCGTCGTATCTTTTTTGACACCTATATTTATGGAATAAAGTTCATTTCTCGCTTGCGTTAGGAATGTTCGATAAACGATTTGTGATTATACTGAAGTAACGTCGAATCTACATATATGTGCCTACGGATATAAACGAATTAAATCCAGACGACGTAAACAATGATCGGTATTAAAGGATGCTGGTCATGGACGAGCAGCTCGGTTTAAACAGATGTCAGTCAGTATGTAGGTTGATGCAGCGTGCTGGGAGCAGAAATGTTGAGGGTAAGGAAGAGAAAGAAGGAGAGATAGGAAGCTCGCAAGAGAGAACAGCCACCCGTCAATCTCGTTCTCGTTCTATCTCCATCGCTCAATCCCTCTTTCTCCCTCACTCACGGTCGCCGGTGGCGTTGGGTGGGCTGATGGTAGGAGTTGGATGGAAATCAATAGCCCTGAATAATGAACCCCAAGGCAGCATCCTCTCTCTCTCCTCTCTCCACGGTCTGGAGCAGTCTCTCATGCATCCTCTCATTCAAGAGCGGGAGGAAGAGACGAGAGAGAGAGAGAGAGAGAGAGAGAGAGAGAATATAAGAGACGCGGGGATGTTGTCTCTCTTTCCCTCTCTTCTTCCTCCTTCAATCTCCTTCGCCTCTTCTCACAACCGAGGCCCTACTGAACCCTTCTCCTTCCCTTTACCCGAACGGAGGTGTTTGTGTCCTCTCCTAGTCCCCAACTTTCCTACGAAACTCCCTCGAACCCAATTCGGATAACCGACGGAAGAGAAGGAGAAGCAGGAGGACACGGAAAATGATTACCCTCCTACTCTTCCTTCCTTCATCTCGTCCTCTCTCCCCCCATGACGGATCGATGGTCGTCGAGCACCTTAGTTCGTGATTCTCCTGGATTCGGATCAATACCTACTTTAGCATTGCAATAAAATGGTTGGACAGGACGTTATGATAGCCCGCACTGTCTTTCTCTTTTTCTTTTTTTCTCCCTTTCTCTCTCTCTCTCTCTCTTTCAGTCTCTCCCCTTTTCTTATCGAGTACCTATCGAAAAAGCTATTTTGTCGGCACTAAATTTATATTTGCGATTCCGCTCAACGTGAGATATCGAGATCAACGGTGAGACAGAGAATATAGCGACGAGATAATGTACGAAGAATGTGTGTGTACATATATATATATATATATATATATATATTTATATGTATATATGTGTGTAGAAAAATTAAGAAATCTGATTTCTCTCAATTGCGGATAAACGAACGCTTATTGAAATAATTATAGTTTAATTTAATATCGACGTAATTGATCGTAGCGGTTCGGAGCGATGGTTAGTACTACCGGCCTCTGATTTCTTCATCTAGCGCGCTTTCGATACCGACGGTTAAAATAAATAGACCCGTCAATTTGCATAGTCGTTAACGGGCATGCCTGGCAAACCCTTATCGGCTCTGTAGTAGCTCCTAAACCTACCTCCCGACCTAGGCAACGCGTTCTACGTTATTCCTACATCCTTTACGACGCGCTTCACCAACGCAAAACTCTCCCCCTTCTCTTTTATACTATCTTGAATCCTTATCCGCGGAACGAAACGCTTATTAAAGATCGATCGAGGACATCGTGACGTCCTTTATCCGCGTTATCGTATCGGATATACAACTTGGAAAGCCAGGAACGTTTGGCGCGTTCGCCACATACATAATTTATTTAGTTGGAGAATCGTAGAGTACGCCCATTGTTGTAAAGCGACACGTATTTTCATCGCAACCTTCAATTCGATTGAATGGCAAATATTTATAACAGTTTATTGAAATACAGACAGAGAAACTTAATAAGTATAGAAGCTCTTTAAGTAGAACTTAATAAGTAGAAGCTCTTTAGATTTATCGAATTATCGATTGAAATATTTTCTTATTAAAAATTGTAATTTTGTTATCATGTATAGTTATACATATTCTTATGTATATATATATGTACATATATACTACATATCCTTTTGTGATATAAGCGCGTCAGACAAAATGTACTTTTTAAAATTCTCCTCATTGAAGATTCGGATCAACGATGAAACGAATGTTATCCTAAGCAATCAAACGGATCATAGTACCAATCCATCTTTTTTCCCGAGAGAGCCAAAAGAGCTTGGGGCGGATCTACGGAACTATCCCTCGGTAAAGGCGGGCTGGTAACGACTATGCAAATTTCATTTGGCCCGGCCCAATTCTTCACACACGGAAGATTAAGACATTAGACTATGAGGGGAAGAAGAGAAGGAGGGAAAAGCATGCTCTAAACTGGATAGTGAATAGACGACGACGAGAGGGAGTAAAAGAGGAGCCTTGCCACGAACGAAGGTACACTGACGGTCCTCCTACAATCTCAATTATCTCATGTCCTGAGCTATAAATCACTCTCGTGTGTACGAATCTAAAACGGCGACGCTAATATTTAACTTGAGCATGAAAATTCGGCCGCTTGCGTGCATCGTACAAAATAGTTTCGATAGATAATGGTCATCGCGTTTAAAGCGGCTAGTCTCGTACAGATGTATAATTCGTGCAATGAGAAGAATATTTGTTAGCTTTGCACAAAACTGCGATAACATTGTATTTTTTAAAAATACTCTCTCTATTCCGTGTTTAAAAGAAAACAAAAATTCAGTACATATTTTAATTTGCGTACATTGCTGGTTAACGTTATGTTATAATGATAAAAAACTACAAAGTTTCTTTTGTTAACATTTTAAACTGCGAAACATTTTATGTAACTTGTAATCGTGCATTTCCTTTTTTAGCAGTATATTATACAATACAATATCTTTGACACAGAGAAATAAATTTTAAATTTAACTTTTAAAAAATTACTTTATGCTGTTTATATATATACAATATATGTATTTTTTAATTTCTATATTCCTCTCTTTTGATTTTTATCCTTTTTTTATTCTCAATTCTGTTTAAAAAGATTTTCTTCGTTCATTTATATCGATATACATAAACAAAAGACAAGTATTAATTAATATCTGTATCCTAAAACCATTCTCTATATTTATCGATTCTAAATACAACACAATAGCGTCTTTCCACACACATACAGCGAGCACACGCAGCAATAATAAAACCCGAAAAATTCTTGTTCCCCCGCGAATGAATCCTGACGGTACCACCGCAATCGCGTTGCGAGGATTTCGCGTTGTTCCGCGGAACAACGAACGGCGAGAAATGCAGCGGCAGGTTATGCCTCCCATCTACGAGATCCAACCTCCCGTTGCTGCCTCGATGGGAATTCCCATTCTTCGCGTTCGACGGTCCGGAATTTTCCAGCGGGCGGCTTCGACGAGCGCTCTGAACTTCTTCCCTTTCCTTTCCCCGTGCCGTGCGAGAGTGTAATTTTAGTTTGATACCAGCGCAATAGCCGTCTGCTCTCCTTTCGATGTAATAACGAAAGACCAGAGAAGGAGACCACAGAGGGAGTGAAAAAGAGAAAAAGAGAAAGAAAGAAAGAAGGAGAGAGAAAGAGAGAGATGCGGGAGGAGAGGCCGCACTACTTATCCCTTTTCGTATTTTCCTTTACAGCGACTCTCGTTGCCCCCGATCGAGACAAAGCCGCAGGTATTACCTTATTTCCCCAGCGTCTTTCCCCTTCTATCGTGCAAATCCTTCTTACGCGAGTGTTCGCCCGTAACCCATTCTACCATCGCGCATTCGGCTTTCTCGCTCTTTCCCTGTCGTCTCTCCCGTCTCTCGATGTTTACGCCGGAACAACCTATTCGCGTATTATATTCTCAATGGATTTCGCATTCTTCATCCCATGCGCTCGCGCGGGACGAAACCCTCGATATGTACAGATGTTGTAGGAGAACGAGATGATGATAAAAAAGTAGGTACTGAATTTTTCTTTCTTCTCGATAGTATTCAATGTGAAAAAAAAACTTCAAACGGACTGAAGAAGGGATTATTATATAATAATAAGATGCAATTTAATTCGACCAAAAACTGGCTACTCATTAATTAAAAATAGAAACATGAAAGTTGTTCAGTAATTGCTGAATAAGAACAACACTTGAAAAGGACCACAATGTGGGTCGAAACGTAGTGTGTACTTATTTTCAATAAACGAATAGCCAGTTTTTGGTCGAATTAAATTGCATCTTATTATTTGTGAAAATTTTATCACTGGCGATCAACAATTGATTGTGAAGATTTTTTATTATATAATAATATAAACGCGCGAAATCATCACGCGAAGCTTCGGATGAGCACTTTCATCGTTTTATATTAAATTCTTATTTGAGAACTTGACGCAAGATCATAATAAAATCCTATTTTGTTTCACTCTAGTACTTTTGTTACACGCAATGTCGCCCATTAGTTTATTCCCATAGCGATAAGGATCGTTTGATCACGCGAAGAATATCGCGTCGACAGATTTACACGCGACAAACGAGTGTAACATTTCATCATGAACGCTAACATCGTCGTATGATCCCGCCAATTCCCAATGAGCGAGAGTGCGATGCATGAATTCTCGATCGATCCGTCGGACGGGACGGAAAGAGAGACGGATGTAGAGAGAGCCTGCGGCAAAAAAGTAGGATAACATACGTCCGTGCACGCGACGAGGGAGACGGACGGACAGCCCTCGTGCGCCAAGAGAATGAGGAAGAGAGAGAGGGAGATAAAAAGAGAGAAAGAGGGAGATTGCGGAAAGGTCGCGCTGGTGGGGTTGGTTGCCATTGTAATGGCGTGTGCCATGGTCCCCATGTGCCAACCACCCCGGCAGCTGAGCCCTTCCTGCTACGCTCTGCTGTTAAATACGCTGAAACGAGCAAACCATTCGCAAGAGTTAAACTCGTAGTTATCACTCGAATTGATGTATGTTATATACACACATGTATATGTATATATATATATATATATAAATGTATGTGTAGGTACACGTGTACGTGTATACCGGCGAATCGAACGTGCCTTCCTTAAATCCTCCCTCGTGGAAGGGCAAATGCTCGTCGCAATTGAAAGAAAATGCGACCGTTTTGTTCGGTCGTCGTCGAGATCGCCAGTAACGTCGAGACCTTCATTATTGAAGCCAAGATGAAAGCTACAGCTTTTTCTCTTTAAAGGCTTTACTAGATCGTGAGAGAATCGCCCGGGGAGTCGTAGAGCTTCTTAGACGTCGAAGCCTAGTGCCGTGATTTCTCCAACGAAATACGCAACTCGATTAAGAAATCGCGAGCAAATCGAATTTACGCAATATCCGTGATTGTGGCGAAACAACTGAATTATTTCCTTACTCGCTTTCCAAGTTACAATTCAGCCCGTTCATTAGTACGTACAGCAACGCTGGCAGCGAGACAAGGGAAAACAGAGAACGATGGGGCAGGAACGCCTCTCGAATACCGACGACGGGAAGTCACCCAAGTATCGTAACTACCCAGTAATTAAGTACGGATGCCGAAGTGGCGGCCAATGGAGCGGACAACCGGAATAAAGAAGATGCAAAACCGGACCTTTCGCCTACCAGGGAAGTGGAGCGCGATTTTTATTTAATCCGAGTCGTAATTCAATCCGGGAACGAACAAGATGAACGAGGCAGATGAGAGTAACTAGACGAGGGTAGGTCACTATGTCTCTCAGATAGAGCTAGAGGCTTGACACTATTACTTATCAACTGCTCGCGTACATTCGAGATGGCAATGTACGATAAAAGAAGAAGGGAGAGGAAGCGTGTACGTTGATAACGAGGAGTTGGAATCCGCAACCGGATTCGGAGAACGGTAAGAAAGGAGGAGTATGAAGGGAACTGAGAGGAAGAGACGGAATGCGCGCGAGCACGCGCACACACAGCTAGGGGAATCAAAATATAATTACACAAAGGTAAGCCGTAACACGGAGACAGAATCGCGGGGAAATAGACGGGTCTCATTAAAATTGGAGAGCTGTTTCGAAACTACGAGACTGCTGTGTCGGTTGCAGCCTCGTCACCGTCGAGCATTACCTTTCCCTAACTCGGGCCCATCTCCCTCCCCGAGTCTTCCTTTCGCGTCCTATCATCGTGTTGCAGAACGCGGGTCCCGTGAAAGATTGAAACAAAAAGAAACTTTTCCCGCGCCGCTTGCAGAAAGCTGTTAAGGAAAAACTACGTATCGTACAATGACGTTCAGCTGTTTCTGCGATTCGCAATTCCAAGATGGTCACATTTATTGCAAATAATTGATAAAATACGATATATATTTGATTCCCTGTATTAAAAATCAAACTTCAATTACGAGTGTTTAAATAAAAAAGGTGTAAAAATTTCATATTACATTTAATTAGACATTAAAATATTTAATCTTTAATAAATCATACCTATATATTTAAATAGAAATAACAGAGATTTTCTTGCAAATCTAGAATTTCCTGTCTATGTGACACACGCGCATAGATTATTTATTCAGTTCACGATCTAATTCGAGGTAAATTAATAATTGATTTAACAGCTGATCTCACGATATAAATAATTTTGTGATTTTTTAATGATACACATATCTCGATAAAAGCGTGCTGTAATATTCTAACATATTCTAGCACATATCCAAAATTACTGAGACTGCGCTGCAGTTGATTCGTATCGGTACAGATTTAAGTTCAACGTGCATGATATATGCGGACACGAAATTATTTGATTTAGTGAACGCGCGTCAATGCGAGCAAATGTATTTGATTCGACGTTGATAAAATCATTCCTCTTGCCTGCCGTTTATTTTGTCGAGTCAAATACATATGATATATATATATAGTTCGATCATATGCTTTCTCACAAGGAGTGACAGTATATGATCGAGAGAAAAGTATTTAAAAATTCTTAAAATATATACGTACAAATCTGACAATTTAATAAGTACCATTAAAATGTATCCTGCAATATTAATATAAAGTTAAGCTTTGATTTGACAATTTGCTTTATATTTTGCTACAAATGTATATAATGATAAATTGCTTTAATCAATTTATACATACAAAATTCGCGAAATAATAATCGTCAGACTTAATTATCCAGCTTCTGTCTATTTCAAAGTCTCTCTCCTTTCAGATGAGCACTTACATATATATAAATCATATGAATCGTATTATAAAAACAACTAGTTTCACGTTAACGAAAATACAATATACGCAATATCTTGTGATGGAAGTTTATGAATATACATATTGTTTAGAATATAGAATTTTCCTCGGTATTTCCGCGGATATAACAATGGAAAATCGTTGAGTTGCGGACGCCGTGAGCCGCGCAACTCGGCGAAGTTGGAAGGGAGGATAATTCGAAAGATTAACGAGCTATTTCCAGGCAAAAACTCGAACGACCATTCGTCAACCATAAATTCCGCGTGCCTACAAAAATAAAAATGCGCTCGCCCTTCCCCCCTACGGTGCTCGCCGGGATTGTGTGCAGCTTATCGGCCGGATATTTATTGTAAAATACCTACGTTTTCCCTCCGTCTCTCCGACGCCATACCCGACTACGGTCAGGCGAGCGGATTGCGGCCATTTTTCCTGCAAATTAAATAAACGGAGGCCGCCGAAGGGTAACGTCGGCGCTTCGTGGAGCCCCGGTAAAGTCCGTTATTTTCAGAGCCGGCGAATTTCTAACCGCGCGGATTTTCTGTGGCAGAGAGCCTCTCTCTCTCTCTCTCTCTTTCTTTCTTTCTTTCTCTCTGTCTCTTTCGTAACCGAGTTAAGCTTTATACGGCTACGTGGACAACTAGCGCGTTTGAAATTTTCGCCACCATATCGCGCGCGTCCTCCATTATTGATAAGTATCGAATAACATGACTTCTCCATTACAAAATCGGCTCCGGAATAACGAAGCGGCCGCCGGGACCGAATTTCCGCGTAGTATCGCACTCGGCTCTCGGCTTTCCGACTGATGCACAATTCATGAAGACGATCCAACCGATCTCGGAGCGTTGTCTCATTTTTCCAAATACTCCTCGAAAATCCCAACCGTACCCTTGATGCCGCGCGCGACGATGGTAAAGCTTTTCTCTCTGGCTTCTGCTTTTTTCCGCGTATCATTCTCTCTCGTCTCGCCCTTTCTCCCTCTCGCCGTACTTCGAGTACCGTACGAAGGTATCGCGTAACGCGTTCCTGTCGTAATTCGAGCACCGAGGATCGAATGATGGCGTTGGATAGCCCGTCGTCGAGAAGAGGCTGTGACTGGTAACCGGGCACGTCGGTGTTAAAGTCCCCGTTTCCGGGGCAAGTTTCCGCCACGGAAACAGCCCGAAACGCGTCCACGAGCGCTGTCTCATTGTATCAGGTTCGTCGGCGTCTGGATGGTGCATCGCGCGGGAGGATGGGGACAGAGCAGAAGAGGAAACGGCGCACAGTAGGGTGTTGCACCGGGTGTAGGTGGAAGGAGGGGGTGGCTTACGGTCGGCCAACAAAGGCCGTCGATCGTCGACGTCGGCTCATCCTCTCGGCGATCGACGTGAATGCCCGCGAAATTTATTGTTTCGCCGCGGCTTAGCACGCTCTCGCACCCACACGATCCCTTCCCTCACTTTACTATCTTCTCTCTCTCTCTTCTCCGGGCGACCCTGACCGCGGCTCCCGGACGCCATATACTACGTCGCGGGGGACAAAAGAATAAATCCTGATTAATCTCCCGCTCGCGCTTCGAAAGCCGTCGAGGGTGTGCTCGCGCGCGTGCGCGCGCGTGCTCTCGCTTCATCGTTACCGCCGGAATTGCGCTTCACTCGGCGGCAACGAGTTCTACGTGTCCTTGCGCGGCTGAAAAATTAATGAGCGCCCGGCCGCTTGGATTTAGTGGCCGGCGACTGCGGTATTTCGTAAAAATAATTTCGTAACGTTGGCGCGCGACGTTGTGCCACCGCTAAATGACATTTCGCAGAAACGCGGACGTTACGTAATAGTTTTCCCTCTCTAACGTTTGTATGAGAACCGGATTAAAAATTTTAATACGCCGCCAACGTGGAATTTTATTTCTGATGTTTCTCGGAAAAAGTTACTTTTAATTTTTATCACGAAGCTTATTCGCGTTCCAAGACTGATGTTTTAAAAATTCTCAAAAAGAGAACGTTCTCCAATTTTCCTAACGAGCTTATATTGTAGAATTCTACATCTACATGTTTTGCGAATCTTACCCTTGTGTAGTCCCGTGTATTTATCCTTGAGAACGGTGAATTCATAAATCTTGCCGAATTCCTCGAAGATAGGACGAAGAACGTCCTCTTCGAGATGACGCGGTATCTGTCCGACAAAAAGCTTGATAGCGCCTTCACCCTGGCTGGATGATGGCGACGTCGAGACGGGTATCAGCATTTCTTTACCCAAATAAGATGAGATTTCACCAAGTTTCACTGTCCCTTCCCTCACCGAAATTTGCCTTTCAATGCACGCACACAACCCCTGTCACTCTTTTCACCTTCAACGACGGACACTGGTCACCACGTGGCCTTGAGCGATGATGGACCTCGCTGATTACTTATCGTCACGCGCATAAATTACGGACTCAGCGAGTACTTCACATATGAAGAAGACAGAGGGAGAGGACATCGGCCGTCACGGAGATACTTGTTAACTTTCGTCTTCGAAGATACGGAGGGTTGTCGTGAAACGGAAGCGTAATTCGCCGAAAACGGCGGTCACGAAGCGAGGAGTTAACGGAAGGTCGGTCGAGCGGTCTGGTTTTAATCAGGAGCTCGATAAAAAATACATGATAGCGTAATCTTCGTAGGAACGGAAAACAGAGCGAGGCGCGTACGGACGGAAAACGGTAAAAGAACGAAAGCGAGACAGAACGACCGTACGAAGAGAATGAAAAGCGAATAACGCGACGAGCGGACAGGAAAGTATTCAACAAAGAAGAAAAAAGAAAGAAATGGAGAAGGGGAGAAAATGTAAATGGAAGAAAGTTTAATGTAATAGCGCGCACATGCAACAATTAATGAATTTTGCAACGCGAAACACAATTAGATATTGTCAACAGCTGTCGAAGATATACTCGACTTAAAATTGTAACAGTGTAAATAATTGTTTCACAATATTATCCACATAGAATAAAAAATACTACGATCGAATAATCGATGCCGCTACGCACGTTTATTGTTTCCTAAGTCATTACTAATGGTTTATTTTACTGTAAATTATTTCATTAATATTATTCCGTCAAGAAGTGCACCTATTACGCACATTGACATCTACGCGTTTGCTCACAGCTGATCGGAGTTTACGGTAGATGATTTCATGTATGCGCATGTGCACGAGCACCAGTTGCACAAGGCTGCGCAAGAAATCTTTCGATGAAAACGGTGTCAATATCACTAGATTTACATATATCACTTACGATGGTAATTAAATGTTTCTTCGTATTTAAGATGTTTTAGTATTTTTAACACGTCGCGAAAGTTTTTAAAAATGTCTAATAAAATGAAGATTAATGATCACTATCACAAACACACTGACAACGATATTTTTACAACACAAACATCTCTACGTGTTCATTTAAATGCACCGGTAAAGTATTCTGCTATCCTCCACCATGAAATTTAGCGTAATCAGCCGAAAACACAGTGATTTTATCTTAAATAAACTTTAGAATTCAAGAACGATGTTGTAGAGCAACTGCCACGTACATAGCTGCGAAGACCGAAATCGACTCGAGCGCTTCCTCTTTAATTCTTAATTTCGTATACGTAGCTGCTCTAGTTGTTCCCGAGACCCAGTTTATCACGTTGAATATCTCTGTTCGGGCGACAGATGCGCAGATTACTTCCGCCGCGTAATCGGTCGCTTTACCTAGATATCCTAAACTAAAACGATCACAAGTACAGCACGTTCACGATCACGAGAGAACAACAGAACTACGACACGCTGCACGAGACACGAGACAACACTGATGGTTGAACGACCCTCGGCCCGATCGGCACCGCACACCCTGACGCCACCGTCCACGGGGAAATTACATATACACACGCATACGCGCGCACACAGACGTACATTTTACCCCTCTTGTCCTACGAATCGCCCCTGCTACGACGTTACCCCATCTCGATGCATGAGGGGGCGCATTTCCCCCTGTGCCAAGACCTTGCCGGGCGAAGCGAGGGCGTCTTTGCTCCCTCTTATTAGCCTACCTACCATCCCTCGTAGCATGTGCACCATCCATTTTCACGGACCGCCCTTAATCTCTGATGCCCCATTCACCCGGATTCGCATCGAAATTGGATTCTGGCAGCACGGATCTTCGAATCATGCCAAGCCGGCGATTATCGAGCATGATAGTATTAGAACGAAAGATGGAAGACATCTATAAAAAGATAATAGTTGTACGATCTAATAATATAATTTAAAGAATCGAGAAGAAAAATTAAAGTTGCAATCTAAATAATTCCTTTTTTTTTGTTTAAAGTAAAGTACGAAACTTTTAAATCAGATAGCTTTAAGAGAAGTGTCAACTGCGACATAACATAATTTTATGAAAAGGCCATAAACCCGCTAGCTTTTTAATGCGATTATATCGTACGTCACAGATTAATGAAGGGAAAGAAAAATACGGTGATATATTAACTCGTAGTACCGCATGTGCTGATCAATTAAATATGAAAGTTAATCACGTTCGCATGACCTGATCTTTCATTCCTCCTCGCGTTCGATAAAAATATATCACAGCAATCGGCGTTACGCCGCTTTTATGGGCGCCGCTTTTACTATAGCAGCGCTGAAAAGGGTACCTGGCATAATGGTCCCCCGTCTTTGCAGGGGTTGGCGAGCTGAGTCATCGCCTCGTGCGATACTCAATCGCATCGTAGTATGCCGACCCTCTCTGGTAAGCACGTCGCATACTTGGGCGAGTGCGTGCAAACGTGCACGCCTCTTTAATGGTAAGTCGCGCGCGTGTGTGTGTGTAGATTTCGACTCTCCATCTCTGCACGCGAGTGCCTTACACACGGAAACGAGATTCGCGACTCTATTCGCCGTATACAATAAAATTGGCGCTTTCGAAAACATTGTAGTAACGTTGCGCGAAACGCGACGGTCTATTTATCTGGGTATCTTCCCTTTCTTTCTATATCTCTCTCCTTCCCTCCGAATATCGCGTTGCGTGTGAGCACGTGTGACAAGCTTTTTCGTTTTATTTCCTACGTTACAATATTCAGCCTCGTTGAAACGACAACTACCAGCCCAACCAGGTTGATATCTATAAATGCGAATATCCGCGATGCAAAATATCTGCATTTAAACATCACGGTCTGCGCGACGACCGGGCGCTACCATTGTTGCTAGGAACTCGGTGCCTACATGTATACGCATGAGAAGCAACATCGGGCGCACGTATCTCCAAATTTAGTTAGAACATATGTGCCAGGCTTCACGCTTATCGATCCTCGCTCTTCTCTAAGGAGAAAACGGGAGTGGGTGAGGGTTAATACGGCTCCTCGGGGGCGGAAAGAAAACATCGTTTCCCATCTCACGAAGAGAAAAACGCGATCGGCACAATGGTTTGGCCAAGTATTACGCTCGCAACGTTCAGCCGACCGGAGAAGTAGCTCTTTGTTTCTGTTTAAAAGCTACCTCGCTTGCACGTTCAAGCTGAAATGCCGTTGCAAGAATGAATTGGAACGAAACAAACACCTTCTCGCAGTCCTCGCGAATATTCATCATCTAAGTGTAGAGTTGAAGCATTGAAAATGATAAGGATCTATGCTGCACACAATGCAAATATATAGCATTTCACAAAGATTCTATAATTTATATAAAAACTTGCGTATATTTGTTCGTAAAGATACTAAGATATAATCAATTTTTTCTAAATTCTATGTTGAATTTAGTGTACTAGCTTTCGTTGTAAAGATGCTCTAAAAAATATTATTTTTTTATAAATATAGTAATAGAATAATTATAGAGAAATATTCAAAAAGTCTTTATAGATAAAATAATTCAATTTTTCTATAAGTGTGCTCTTTTACATATATGTACTCTTCTATATCAGTTTATACATCATTCACAATATTTCAATTTTTTTAAGTATTTGATCAACGCAATACATAAAATAATGTGCAACGTAATTCTACTGTACGGAACTTTCACTAAATTTCCATGAAAAATTTGACGCAGTTTGGAAAGCTTTTCGGGATTCCGCTGACATCGGAACAAGCTTGCTGTAACGTCAATCTCGAAATATTGGTGGATCAATGACGTGTCGCTCAATGCAACATGCAGCGGCTCCGCCTGTAAATCTTATTGATTTATATTTTTCGCTATAATGAAACCATGGCGAGAAAGGTGCGAAGAATGTTCGACATCGACAACGCTCAACGTACACGCGATAAACTCGACGACGTTGATTTATAGTAGCGAGGAAATTGCCCGAAAGTGTACGAATTTCTCACCGAACGGTGGAGATGCGAAATGTGATCTGCAAAAAGTGCGCTATGGTCCGTAGATAATGTTACGATTAGGACAAAAAGTGCGAGCAGTATTATCGGTATTTCTATATAGGGTGTCTCGCCAAACTTTTATATACAAATAAAAACTTCTTCAATAAATTCAAAACAAATTCTTAACAAAAATTGAATTGGTCACTATCTTGTTTCACAACTTCAAACTCTTTTATATTTAATCTTTGAAATTAAAACTGTTAAAATTACACCAAAATTAAATAAAAAATAATGTATTTACTTTCATTTTTCTATATAGAATTGAATTTTTTTAATTTCTAGATGTTCAATAATTTCTGTTTAATAATCGATAATGCTTTTGGATTTTTGTTAAGAGATAATTATAAATTGCTCGATACAAGAATCAACGAGTAAAAAGAAATATTTGAAATTATTAGACACCGTATAGATAAGAGTGTTTTATTGGTTCTACGCAAACCGATACACACACGAATCGGGCAATGCGAAAGAGAACTAACAGTTTCCAGAACTGGGAGATGGAACGCAGTCGTTTTTCAGAGAAAAGTACTCTCACCGGGGAATTAATCACGGTTTTCTCTTCCTATTGGGAGTATGTATATCTGACATTCTCGGGTCGTCAGAGACTGCAACATTTTCGGTAGCAGAGCGGAATTACGGACTTAGCTCGCGGTCCGTTTTTTTCACCGCCCGATATACGCCGAAAGCGAGTTAAGTCACGCATGATTTATACCGGGCATACTCCGCCGGGCCTACTCTCATCGTCACGGTATTACATGGTGTATACCCAGTTTATATACCAACCCGACGTGTCCCGACGGTGGTAGAGAGGCCACCACATCGCCGGGAAAGACACCCAAAAAATATAACCCTGCGATATCGCGCGCATGCTCTAGAAAGCCT